AAGCTGTCCGCTTCTTCAGGTAGTCTTCTCTGCCGACCGCGTCCACCCAAACGGTGGCCACGCCCACCGCGTCCTCCACGATGGCCTCTGGCGCCTCTGCCTCTGCCGCCACGCGCGGCAGGTCCACGCCCACCCCGACCACGCCTTCCTGCGGCTGCACGCGCAGCCTGCAAGGCGCGCTGCCGCTCGCGCTCTTGCTCTTGGAGCTCGCGCAGGTGCTCTCTGGAAAAAATTGTTTGACCATGAATCGAAAAAACATCCAGCTCTCGAACTGGGCCTACGGCCAGCAACACAACTGTCCAGTCGGAAGCCTGCCGCGCCAGATCCGCAACCAAAGCCATGTCATTGATCCAGTCGTAGGTCTGCGGCGTGACGAGGCTCGGAGGCCCGGAACTGCTTGAAGGCGCCGCCTGAGCAAGCGTTCTCTTGATGCGCAGATCATAAGGAGGCACCGGGTGAGCGTCGGTGTTGTCGTCGCAAGCCTTCAAGCCGAAAAGAATCATATCGATAGGTGATTTTCTTGTCCTGAACGCCAAAACCCAAGACATGGATCGGTTGAGGGACGTGGAATTCATCTGCAGCACCAACGGTTCGGTCGCAAAGTTCTTGGTAGGGGGATCGAACTTCTGAACCACACAAAGCAAATCCGTGTGCAAGGCGTTGGCAACTGCTCTCTGGTCATCGTCTCTCAACTCTTGCAGACAGCCACCTAGAGGACAGCGCGGAAAGAGGTGCGTACCCTCAGCTGGATGCACGTCCAGTTCGGAAGCGTCGCTGTCTGCATCCTCGATGACGTGCTCCTGGCAACACAAATGCAAATGAAACCATGTCGCTGCACGCGCGCCTTTGACCCTAAACTCCTAAACCCCAAACCACCTAAACCCTAAACTTTACCCCTCAACCCCAAACCCTACAACCTCAACCCGAAAAACCCCAAACCGTAAACCCTAAACCCTAAATTCCTAAACCCGAAACCCTAAACCTAAGTGAAATCAAGAATCGAACAGCCCGGGCCCGAGAGCAAAAAACAACACATCTCCTGCTTCCACGCAGCTGCAGCCGCCGACAACCCACCCAGATTGTTCAGGCCCTCGTCCAGTTTTTCAAGGTCAAGTGGGAATTGCTGGTCAAAATTGCTAAGGGACCACGGTCCTCCCATGATGTTCTCACCCTGGGCGTCCTCAGGCATGACAGCATGCTGAGCAGCAAGTGTCATTGCATTTTTTGCCTTGGCCTCCTGACCATACGCTTCTTTCTGCATTAGCGTCAAATTGTCCCACTCTCCTTTGCACTGCTTGAGGAAACTCAAGGCCGCGTCCTCCCCACGTAGCCTATTGCCGTCCCGCACCTGGGCTTCTTTCCGTGCCTGCACAAAGCAATGGTATCCATTGCAACGGCCGGTGACCTTCTTCCTGGCCTTGGCCCATTCGGGTCGGCGATTGTTGCTTCTTTTTTTTTTACGCGATGGGTCGCGTTGAACTACTGACTCCTTCCAAGAATTTACAGCCTCTCGAAAGGATTGGGTGATGTGCTTCGACGCCAGATTCGCGGCAGAAATGCCCTCACCTGCCGCCTTGGTCCAAGTCGAGAAGTTGGCGAATTTTCGTTCAATGAAAGTTGATGTAATCACGATGCGCTCGAACAACAACTTGATGAAATGGCGCACAGCTTGGCCTGACAGTCCTGCAGGAGTAGGGAATCTTGCTCTGAGTCTGCGGGTCAGGCCGGAGTCAACACAACATGGTTTTGCATTGAGAACGCGAGCAGCTTCTTGAAGAACATCATCGTCACTGTCGCTGGTCAAACCAAACAACCTCCACGGGTACCTAAGCCAGGGCTCGATAAGTTTTCGCACCAGCTGCCCGGCTGCTACCAGGGTTGCGCGACGCAAGGTGCGCAGCTTGTACTGGGACCATGATTCCCAAACTCCATGAAACGGAAACATAACAGCCAGGGACTGGTTCGGGGCGCTGAGGCACTGCATGACAAGGTCTAAGACCTGCAACGCTGGGTTCCTTGAAGGTGTGCAGAACTGACCCAGAAGGTGCAAGCGCTCGTCAGACATGATTCTGTCAGTGTACCAAGTGACTTGTTTGAATAATTTCCAGTGAAGAGACATTATAGGGTAGACGAGGACAAGCCACATCAAACAAAGCCACTTTGCTTCTTGATCGTTCATAAATGTAGCAGCTCTCCTGTTTCGTTTTCGAGCAAGTTTGCGCCATTTCTTCGTTTCGTTCATTGGAACACCCAGCTGCTTCTCCTCTTCCGCCTCAGAGCTGCTGTCCACCGGGTCTGAGACCGATCCTAGTCGCGACTGGAGAGCTTTGGGTACCAGGTCATGAAAATGGAAAAGAAGAACCGTCTGTCCAAAGGATGGATACACTTTCGTCCACTTGTTCAACGCAGGAATACTCATGGGCTTCACCATGCAGTTCTCAAGAATGCTGCATGCCTTCGAAACGGTCTCCTCCTGCCCCGCGCAACAGCGATGAGGTCGGCAAACGTGATGAAGCGTAGGTCCTGCAAGGGCCATGTCATGTTTGAAAAGAACGTGAGACTAAGTAACATGCTGTCAACCTAGCAATTGTTTGGAACAACTGTGGGTGCTCGGGGTTATATAAGGCTGAGCTCCTGCGCAAAAAAGAATGCCAGTTAGCTAGTTCCAGGGCTTCTGGGTCGCAAAGCTAAAGCAGCTGACAAAAACTAAGACAAACATGATAATGGTAGACATATGAATCGAATTTGCAGATTGCCCAGATTGCACGCAGAACATCACACAGTTTTGGGCCTTGGGTTTGGGGTTTTGGGCCTTGGGTTTTGGGCTTCGGGTTTGGGCTTCGGGTGTAAGGTTAGAATGCTGCGGGTCGGCATACTTTCCATCGCAAGCTGGGGAACAACTTCGGACCTTACTACTGCACGCTCATCCCTTCTTTTCAAGCCACGGGTTGGCGCACGGCGGAGCATCTCTCTGAGTCTCTCTGCCACACAGAAAGGTCGCACGAGGCTCGAGGCCCAAGGAAACTAAGACTAAGACTTAAATGAAAAGACTCAGATCTAAGGATGTACCTGGGCCCTGGCTAATTCTGTCTATCTAAGTATCTACAATCAGACTGCGACAACCGGCACTACGTGCGACGACAGGTGTGGCAGAGTCGGAGCATAGCGCCGATTGGCGCAGATGCGAAGCGTGCATGTCACAGTCATGACTGTAATGACATTGTCACAATGTGAAACTGGCCCTGCGGGCAGCCCCGCGGGCCCGCGGACATCTCTTATGCATATATATACACAAACCGAGCTGTCAGTTGCTGGATGATAGCCGATAGCCGCCTATATGCAGCCTATGCTATGCATTTTCACAACCTGCTTTAATTAGGCGACTTAGGCTAAGTAGGTGACTTAGGTGTAAAGTTATAACAGCCCGAAAGTAGCAACATCGCTCGGAGCAAAATCGCTGCTTGCCAGCAGCCAAGCTCAAGGGTTCAGCTACGCCGAGGCCTCTGATTCCTGCTGTCTTGGTCCTCACGGAAGGCACGGCGGTTCCTTGGTGGCTGGCGGTTTTTTGTTAGTTTTTGTTACAGTATATATTTGTCAGTGTTCACTTGATGGACCACGGACCATGGAATTGTTAAGCTGGTTTCTACTAGGAAATTTCAAAAATCACGAATGCAGTGCATTTTCAAAAAATACGGGACGGTACGCCAAGCGGCCTCTCCTGCTCAACGGCATCTGGCGGCGGGTGCACCGAAGGCGCATGCCAGAAATCGCGCAAGTAGCCCGCGAGCGCCAAGTTCGAGACGAGGGCGACGTCGAAGACGCTGCGGTTCTTAGATGTTGCTGCCACACACCAGACACAATCACATAAACACACACATATCATATATCTCACACGCGCACTTTTCGGAGAGACACACACACACACACTCACGCACGCACGCATGTGCACGCAGACACACACACACACACCCACGCAAGCAAGCACACATGTGCCCGCACACGCACACACGCACACACGCACGCACGCGCGAGCGTGCACGCACCACACACACACACACAGACAGAACCACGCGCAGTCACGCAAAGGCACTTGCACGCGCACGTGCACAAGCACACGCACACGCACGCGCACACGCACGCGTGCGCAAAAGCACTTGCACGTGCACATGGACGCACGCGCCCGCAAACATGTGTGTACGTATGCGCCCACAAACACGTATGTACGTGTATGCATGCATGCATGTATGAATGTACGTGAGTGTGTGTGTGTATGTATGTATGTATATACTGTATATGTATGTATGTATGTAGGTATGTATGTATGTGTGTATGTATGTATGTATGTATGTATGTATGTATGTATGTATGTATGTATGTATGTATGTATGTGTGTGTATGTATGTCTGTCTGTCTGTCTGTCTGTCTGTCCGTCTGTCTGTCTGTCTGTCTGTCTGTGTCTCTGTCTGTGTTGTATGTCTGTGTGTATGTATGTATGCATGTATGTATAAATGTATGTATGTTTGTGTGTACGTATGTGTGTATGTATGTATGTATGTCTGTATGTATATGTATATATAATATGTGTATGTATATGATTATGATATATGTATATGTATGTACATATGTATGTATGTATGTATGTATGTATGTGTGTATGTAACATGTATGTACGCACGTACGTGCGTATGTATGTAGGTATGTGTGTATGTGTGTATGTGTGCATGTGTGCATGTGTGCATGTGTGTGTGTGTGTATATGTATGTGTGTATGTAATTATGTACGTCACGGTGGGCGTGTGTGTGTGTGTGTGTGTGTGTGTGTGCGTGCGTGCGTGCGTGCGTGCGTGCGTGCGTGTGTGTTTACGTATCCGGTCCGCGTCCACACACACACACAGAACTGTGTCGGCGTTCGTGTGCTTGCAAGCCACGCAAAGTGTATGTGTAACAAATTGAAATACATAAGGCAAAAACAAATACAGATATAAAACTTACTTACAACACTTACAAAAAACAAGACACAAACAAAACATCATCCTCAAATGCTGACCAAGGGACGGTGCTGTTCTCAATTCGGAGATGATTCATGACGCAATCTTGGCCACCAAGATCGTTCAAACGGTACAGCACCTTCTTCAGCACGTTCCAGTGGCCGCGCGAGGCTGCAAAGTGACTGACCGTCGCAAAGGTTCCGCTGCGGCAGTTGATGCCTTCCACGGACATGTACGACGTCAGAGACGCGACAATTTGGGGGCAAATCGTCGTCGACCCTGGCTCGGCCGGGCTGTTCGCCAATATCATCAACGGGGTCCAACCTCACAATCAGGACAAGATACTTTGGCACTTTGGCTGAGTAAGGCGAAAGCACAGGGTCGGCGTTACATCCCGAAATTGCTGTGTTGAGAATTTAAGAATGTCAGTCAGGTGTTGAGTGTTGACTTAGGCTTAGGCGGTTTGCTTGGGGGAGAGACACATGTCCTACGCTGACTAGGCCTAGGCCCTCATGACTCATGACTTGTGACTTGTGATTTGTGACTCGAAGCAGCGGCAATTTAATTCTTCGTTGAATCTGAATCCAAAATCATCATCATTCATCATTCATCATTCATCATTCATCATTCATCATTCATCATTCATCATTCATCATTCATCATTCATCATTCATCATTCATCATTCATCATTCATCATTCATCATTCATCATTCATCATTCATCATTCATCATTCATCATTCATCATTCATCATCATCATTCATCATCATCATCATCATGAATCATTGACTCATTGACTCATTGATCATCATCATCATCATCATCATCGTTCAAGTGTCAATCTTAGGCAGTCTTGAAAAATAAAAAACAAAACAATAAGCCGAGAAGCGTGGCGGCGTCCGAGACGCGAAAGTTGGCACGTTCGCCAACTCTGGCGCTTTCTCTAAGATCTCCCAGACCAACCGCGTGGATTTCAGCCTTACCGCAAAGTGCAGGGCTGTCAGGCCTGCAGCGTCCTTGCACTGCAGCAGCTCTTGGGGCCTCATGCTGGAGATGACAGCGCTCGCGGCGGGCTGCTCGTTCTCCAACAAGTGGTTGATGAGCCTCGACGAGCTGTCGTTCTCCACCGGTGCACGGGGCGGGGTCAGCAACCCAACAAGCTGCTGGTACTGCTCGCAAAGCAAGGCAAGGAGCCTCGTTTGCTCCTCCGACGACATGTCTTTGTCGAGCACCTGCTGCAACTCGATTTGGGCCTCGACGTCGGGGTCCACCGCCTCGTCCTCCGACTCGTCGAGGTTCACGAAATGCGCGACCCCACCCGCACCTTCCCCAGCGACTGATCCCCGCGGTGTTCCTGGTCGTGAACCACGAGGCGTGCCAGCACGGGCCGCACGAGGTGTGCCACCCTGACTGTCCTCGCTGGCCTGACTGCTTGTTGTGAAGCGCTTCAGCCGCTTGTTGATATCAGTCAGCTGTCCCATCATGGACCGCAAGTCCTCGAACCGCTTGGTCCGCTGCTCCTCTGTGTCCGCAGCGAACACCTCCACGATCTCGGAAGCTGTCGGGGAGCGCGACCCGGCCCTGGACGAAGCTTGCGAAACTTGGCCAGAGACCCCAGCGTGGCCAGAGGCCCCAACTTGGCCATCTTGCGAAGCGTGGCCAGGGACCTCAGCGTCCCTGGCTGAGGATCTTGCGCTGAAGGTTCTGGAAGCCTTGCCTGCAGAGGCCTGACCCACAGAGGCCCGACCCAGAGAGGCTGCACCTGCAGACGCCGATCTGGATCTTGCCTGGTCAGAGACCCCACTCGCAGCCGCCGATCTTGATCTTGGCCGGGCAGAGACCCAGCTCGCGGCCTTGTCTGAGTCCGTGTCAGGGATGTGCTTGAGACGACTGGCTTTTGGTCGGGCCTTGACCTTGCACTGGACCTTTTCATAGCCACTCTCGCCCTCTGTCTCAGAAACCCGCACCCAGCTCTTGCCAGCCTGCCACATCACACACAGCCCTACAGAACATGTCTTTCAGAATGCTATCATGAAAAGTTATACAGTAGTTATGAGATATACAGTTATACATTATAAAAATATTATTACAAAAAGTATGACCATTACATTACATTCTACGGTAATGACTGTAGCGGAAACCGCAGCTTGCATACTCATACCGGTTGCAATTTAAGAATCTACGAATAGGATGAAGTTTCTGGAAACAAGCCTCAGAATCGGAGGCTCCTGTGTCCGTGACGATGGTGGCCGTGTCGAAGACATCCTGCATTGCGGGGAACACCAATGCAAAGTGCAATGTTACTTGGTTGAGAGTGGGCAATTGAACTGACACGACCATCTGCTACTTGATTGACAGGTACTGATGCACTGATGCAGCACTGATGCATTGACAGATTGTCACATTGTCACATTGCCACATTGCCTTTGTACTAGTTACTTGTTACGTTGCGTAGTTGCGTGTTGATTGTTTCAAGTTTCACATAGTTTGTAGGCTCTAGACGCTAAGACTCTAAGACAAAAGACTGAAAGACTGAAACACTAAAAGACTAAAAGACTAAAAGACTAAAAGACTAAAAGAATAAAAGAATAAAAGAATAAAAGACTAAAAGACTAAAAGGGTTTAGGGTTTAGGGTTAGGGTTTAGGGTTTAGGGTTTAGGGTTTAGGGTTTAGGGTTTAGGGTTTAGGGTTTAGGGTTTAGGGTTTAGGGTTTAGGGTTTAGGGTTTAGGGTTTAGGGTTTAGGGTTTAGGGTTTAGGGTTTAGGGTTTAGGGTTTAGGGTTTAGGGTTTAGGGTTTAGGGTTTAGGGTTTAGGGTTTAGGGTTTAGGGTTTAGGGTTTAGGGTTTAGGGTTTAGGGTTTAGGGTTTAGGGCTTAGGGTTTACGGTTCAGGGTTCAGGGTTCAGGGTTTAGGGTAAGACTAAGACTCAGACTCAGACTCAAGAAACTTGGACGTTGACAATGGCATTGGACAGGACAACAGACAACAGTACTGGAGAACCGAGGGGTCCTTGGACTTGGATGTGCCTGAGCTGGCGCTGGAGAACCTCCGGCTCGGCGACGCATCAGGCGCAACAGGGCCTGAGGCCATCGAAGTGCTCTGTCCAGGCCGCGGGCTTGGAAACACAGGGCGTGAGGCCGGTGTCACAGGGCCCGTCACAGGGCCTGAGGCCTGAGGTGGATGGACTGCCGCCGCCTTTGGCCTGGCAGCCAAGAACATCCTCGGCAGCGCCGGTCTGTCGCTCTGATTCTTCGCCTGCTGGGTTGCATGCAGCATGATTCAGATGCAGCACGCAGCTTGATTCATTGATTCATTGCCATTGCCATCATCAAATACTAGAGCCGAAAGCAACCCGAAAGCAGCATACCCAGCACGACAGTACAGTGAATACTTGCTTATGTAACATAAAATGACATATCATATCATATGTAAGTAGTAGTCATTGAGTCATTGAGTCATTGAGTCATTGAGTCATTGATCATTGACTCATTGACTCATTGACCAATCTTCAGTCTTCAATCTACACACAAGTTTGGGACTCCTGAAAACTGAAAACTGAACCCTACCTGACTCTCACTCTCTTGCAGTACGGCACATGACTGTGTTTGTGGGGTTGGTTCCCGGGGCTTGCGCGCCTGAAAGCCCAACTCGATGCACTTCTGCTTGAACTCCGACGGCTTGCAGGTGAAGTTCAGGGGCAGCAGGGGTGGCGGGACACGGCCGGAGGCCTCTGCGGCCTTGGCGGCTGCCGCATGTAGCCGCGGCTTGAAGTGCACCAACGCTTGCAGCGGCGTACCATTGAACTTGGGCTTGTGGCTGAACCTGCTGTCCGCCCTGCCTGGGTGGTAGCTGTCGAGGTCCACAATGTTCCTGAGCTCGTTCAGGTACGCGAAGATGTCGTCCGGCCCCAGGCCGGTCAGCATCATCAGCACGCACGCCAGAAGGAACGCAGACCGGTGCGCGCCGTTCCGGCAAGACACCAGGATGTTCTTGCCGGCGCGAACATGGTCAGCGACCTGAAGGCATGCCTCGATCACCCTCTCCGGGAGATTGTCATTGATGACGCCAGTGCCGTCGAAGGTGCCGTAGCGACAAACCCTGCCATCGCAGGTGGGCGGCGGGTTGGCCGCCGCCGCCAAAATCCCGTGAATGTTGTTGCGCAACAGCACAGGGACTTGGCCAGAGGCCCCAATACCACCCAGCCAAAGCTGGCCCCCGTCGGGGCATTGGAAGACCAGATGCATCGGGTGCCTCCGGGATCGAGCGTTGCACGTTAGGGTCTGTAGGGTTGGGGCTTGGGGTTTAGGTTTTCAGTTTTAGGCTTAGGGGTTAGGATTATAGGGCCTGTAGGGGTTTAAGACATTCAAAAAGATTAAAAAATGCCAATGCTCTATGATCACTCTCACAGACTCTGACTCTGACTCTCATATCACTCAGCCAATCAATGCGCCTAGAGTTGTACGCGTTGCGGGCGCACCGCATCCCGGACACGAGGCCGTAGCAGTCGCTAACCAGCAGCCCGTCGAGCTCCTTCTTGGCCGCCTGCCAAGCCTCCTCCGTTCCAGTGAAAACGAGCTCTTCGAGCACGCGGCTCCTGGAATCTTCTGGGCCGAACATCGACACCTTCGACATGACGGCCATGACTCACAACAAAGCCAGAGGCCTATCCTCGGAGACTCGAGTCAACGAGGCCAGAGGCCCAGGAGTCAGGAAGCTTTGACTTTGAAGGCGTTGAGAGGCAAGAAACCTTTGAATCACAACTCACAACAGGAGTTCGGACCTTGAGCCCATCACTGCGAAATCAAGTTTCACATGCTGTCAAACGCTGCACTACATGAACAGAATCACTGCATGACCTAGCGACCTAGCGACTGCTCTGCAGCATGGACTGAATGGCTGAATGGGTGGGCAGTTTAAGTTTAAGCGGCTACAAAGGTCAGCTAAAAAGCCAAAAGGAGAGGCCTGACCGAAACCCTCATCCGACTGTATCCCTGTATCATTCATTCTGAATCATTCTGAAACTGAACTCCAAACCAGACCCGCCGCAGCAACTACAGCACTATCGGTCCTGTCCAAGGCCCGTCGAAGAAGTCCAGCAGGGCTCGAAATGAGGCCTGCCTGCTGCCGGCCACAGCATCCTCACCTTTCGATTCATCGAAACTGCAGCATAGATCAATCAATCGGCGAGCATCTGCTTTAGCAATCGACCACTCCTCCATGCATGCTACTGGAACGCTGTCGTGCACTAGCAGAGACTGCGGGTCCTGAAAAAAACGCCGTTTAATCTCTTTACGCACCTCTGCCAACGGATGTCCACGCGACATCGTCTTGCAAACGCAAAAGACCCCTCCGAGCAGGCCTGTCATCTTTGTCGCCTGCTCTATGACGTTCCCGGCCCTGTGCTGGGCACAAAGGGTAGGCACAAGGTATTCATCCTCAGGCAGGCCTTGCTCCAGATACTTCAAAAGCTTAATGTTTGCGCTGTGGGCATCTGAAGAAGTGCAGATTGCTTTAAACGTGGCCTGAGGCCCCTTGCTACTGAAGCCTCCTGGGCCTGCGGCCAACGTCTTGAACATGCTAGCAGAATTCACCGTGCAAATGGCTTTGGGCGGTCTGCATATGTGCTCATCACGGACAACACCGTCACATTCGAAGGTCCATTGAGCATGAGAACACAGCACGGGGTATGGAGCCAGTGGGGAGGAAGAGGAAGCAGCACTAGAGGCTTGGAGGTCAAATTGAGACTCATCAAACATGATGGACTTGATCAGGACATTGCACTCTGCAGCCTCAACGGATTTTAGCTCAAGTTGTTGCAATTCCAGCACGACAGCCGCACACGCATCTCTTGCTTTCAGCACTTGCGCATGTGCTGCTCCATCAACCTGGCTGGCTATTTGACGCGAAGAGGCGCCCTCCGCAGCAAAACCTGCCCGTACAACAGCGCCTGATGTCCACTTTTTCCACCCTCCCTTTCCTGTCTTTTGCGGTGGCCCCTTCCAGGTACGACTTGGGAAGAAAAAGTCTTTGGTTCGGGCACGGCCACTTTCATTGAACCTTTGCCCTTGTAAATTCTGAAGGCGTTGCTTGGCTTTAGCCGTTTCACTCTGCCTCCTCTTACGCTGTCGGGCCCGAAAACGACCAAGAGCCCCTCGTCGATTCCCTCGACCTTGACCAAGCCCGCGGCCGGCTCGACCTGGTCGGCGACCGACAGCTGCGCCATCCGCATGCTCCTCCGCATCCTCAACCGGACCTTCCCCTTCAAGCAACTCCAGGACACCATCCAAATCAAGCTCCATGAAAACACATCACGCAACCCCAAACTCAAACTCACAATGAAGCGTCACACGCTTTGCCGTTTTGCTTGCTGTGCCTGTTTAGGCTGTAGGCTGTAGGCTATAAGGCTAAAGGCTATATAGGCTATATAAGCTATATAGGCTATATAGGCTATTTATATAGGCTATGTAGGCTGCTATATAGGCTATATAGGCTATAAGCCTATATAGGCTATAAGCTAATAGGCTATAAGTAGTATAGAGGGTTAAAGGCAATAGTCGTAGGTATAGTCATAGTTTATAGTAGGCACAGGCTGGACGTGAGTGAACCGTGAGTGAGCCATCGAAGCTGACAAAGTCACATTCTGCAACGCCAAACGTCAATGTCAATGGCTGATTGCAATTGGGCAATTGGCTATGGGACCTAATGGGCCCAGTGTGCAAATTTCAAATTGGCAAATTCAACTTGTCAAATTGGCATTCAAATTGGGCACTTGGCACTGGGCACTCGGAGATTTGGACTGCCCAAGCGGGCAACTAGGCTACCCGGTAAGTTTGATGTCACATGTCACATGTCTACTCTTCTCAGATTCCAGCATTTGGACTCATTGGCAGAGTCATTGACTCATTGGCGGCATTGGCTCACATTGGACTCAAACCGACTCAAGCGGCTCAAGCGTCGACAGCATCGACAGATTGGCGGCGCGCTTTCTCGA